TCTCACTGGGATCATAATGAACCAGCACCACCCAGTGCAAAACAGATGTTAGGACACAAAGCTCAAGCCCAGTTAGAGAGGAACAACCTCGTAAGCTCAGGTCTGTGTGAGCCACTAACCCTCATCTACAGCAGTATTTCTGGCAACAGTATTCCCCTGTTTTTGTCTTCCCGCTCTCTGCCCGCACCCCCCCCCGCATCAGCCATGGTTGTTTTATCAATCTACTACTGCACAGCAATGCATGAGTTGTCCCTGGAAGGCACCGAGGACTGCTTCCTACTGCAGACGATTAACATGGTGACTAGGAACAGCGCATTGCTAGATTAACTGCTCGCAAACCAGTAAGACTTACTTTACAACACAACTACCAGTGGCAGCCTTGGGTCCAGCGATCATAACATTGTGGAGTTGAAGATCCTGCTAAGCACAGTGAAGACTAGTAGTAGGACAAAGACCTTGGAGCACACGGGTAGGGGTTTAACCTTTTGTGAGCCTCAGCCTGCACTGGTTGTTCCTGGAAACTATGGCCTTGCATCTCAGGCTCTATTTCTTTAAGATAATTGTAAAGTTCAAACTCTCTCGGAGGACAGGTGTTCTTCAAAGAAGCAATTTAATTTTTTAAAAAAAATGTTTTTGGGTTTTTGGCTCAACTGTGACATTCTCAAGTTCTGTAGTACTGAAAAGCGAGCTGGCTGGTAAGTTTTTTGCTTGTTGTTAGGAAAGATAGCATTTCCTACAGATGGTATAAACCTGCTCTCCTGAATACAGTGTTACCAGCTGTGGCTGTCATTTCTACACATCTGGATCAGTGATTTTTTCAAAGGCCATATGGCAGTATTGGCGCAACGCTCCCGGCACAGGACTGGGCAGGAGGCTGCCTGCCTTGTCTGCCCCGACTGTGGCGCAGGTGGAAATGCTTCCAGCTCACCAACTTGTGTGGGATGCTGACTGAGCAGCCCTTCAGCCGGGGAGGGGGACTGTAGGGTGCCACCACGGGCCCCCACATCCCAGGCACGGTCCGCTGCTGCCATCTGAGGATGCTGCCGCACAGCTCTGCAGGTAACAGCAACACAGACTCCTTGAGAAAGCAATTTCTTTTCTTTTCTTCCCCTTTCCCAAAGCCACTCTCCCACACTGAGGGAGATCAGCATTACAGCAGGCATAGATGTCGAACCAGCTGGTTTTTTAAGGGATAAAATAATGGAGAATTTGTTGCCCTGAGCTCACAGTCACCAAAGATAAATCCCCCTCTCTGCTTCTCCTGTTCCCTGGTGTCAGATATTTCCATCCTGGCTGTGACAAGGAAGAGCAGGCATACAAGACCACTCTAGGCCACCGGGTCTTTAAAAAGAGCACTTTAATATTATGAAGCAGCAGTTGTGACGGGAGTGGGTTACGTCCAGGATTACTTTGTTCCAGCGTTTCAAAAACTGCGGATGCTTCGACTCAATATGGAAATCTTTGCATCTCTACAAAGGCAGGAAAGGATTCTTATCACCTTTCCTCCTTTCCCAAAGCATACAGGGAGCTGCATGAAATAAATGCATACATACATACATACTTAATTTCCAGGGCCCACAGTTTTCTCTTAGCCTCATCAAGACTAGCTGGTTTCAGGCAAGAGGGGGAAGTGGCCTCTGACGCTCGAAGTTAGCAGCAAATAATGAAACATTTTGACCTTAGAAACACACCCAAGCTGAACTCCCAATGTCATGCACATCAGGAACGAACCTAGTTGTCATCAGGTCCTCCTAAAGCAACAGGAATCTCTCCACATTTGAGGTAAAATGAGTAAGTTTATGCCTCTGACATAAGCCCTCAGCAAGGGTAGCTACTTCTGCAAAAGGTTTCTCGGCACAGCTGTGCTGTATGAGCCATCACATGGGAGCTGTGAACCCTGGCTTTGCCATCCAGAGTATAAAATGGAAGCCTCTGAGAAGGAGCCTCTCTTCCTGTGAGTTACAGATGCAGTCTGGCAGCTGTTGGTAAGTAAAACAAAAACAGCTCTTTAATTTTGTATTTAAGGTATAACTGAATCTCAGTTTGTTATGCTTGGTGTTTATACAATGTTCTTTTTGCCATAAGGAAAGACTTTTGAAAGGAGAAAAGAAAAAAAGTAAGATTGATAAATGTTACATTTCAGATAAGGGTTTTTCCCTGTTAAATAGCAATTTCGGGTTATTTTTCCTTTAGTGAGGCTATTTACATAGCAGAATAAGGTGTAATAGCACTCATGCTGAAAGCAGTAGTCTGAAAAAATTACTTTTGGTAACATTCCAAGTGCAGACATGCTCTAAAGAGCAGAGGGTGTAAGTGATAAGTAGCTTCTGCTGAACACTGAATCAGGAGAGTTTATGCATAAGTAATATCTTTTTTTATTTTAAACATGTTCCTTTCTCAAGTGTTCTGGTATGTGTGATGGTACCTGTGGTCTCTGGAGCAGCCTATGAATTTTAAAACAAAATATATGTTTTGAACTAGTTCTGGTTTTATTGGTTATTTAGTTATGGTCTTATGCTTACTGGACTAGTAAAATTCAAGTTATAAGTTTCATTGTCATGACGTGCTCTGATCACTTAAAGACAATTGATGGGTAATAACACGTCCTCAGTATGTACACTGTTGATAATGCGTGTGACAGCTCTTTTATTTGACCGTGGATGAGTACTCAGGTAGATTGTGCCAGAATGTGCATTTGTGTGATGTTTTAGGTGTGCTTGGGAGACATGCAGCTTTTTTGGAAAGCTTTTTTTTAAAAAAAAAACAAAACAAACACACACATGAAACAAAACTAAAACAAACCACAAAACCAAACCATACTGTGCTGTTTCACTATCTTTTTTGTTTGCTTGGATAACTACTGTATGTGCCTTATCTGTTCTCTGCCGTATCTCAGGTGTGTGTTGTCAATTGCTAAGGGCTGCAAGGTGTTAGGCAGAAGATGTGACAATGTGTCCTGGCTTAGGTGTGTCCAATTACCTAACTGGAAAGTAGCTGAAGGCCTGGAACAGGCTTCCTAGAGGGGTGGTCAATGCCCCATGCCTGGCAGTGTTTAGGAGGCTTTCAGATGATGCCCTTTAATAACGTGCTTTGGTTTTTGACCAGCAGTCAGGCAGCTGGACTAAGTGATTGTTGTAGGTCCCTTCCAACTTGAATTGTTCTCTTCTCCCTCTTATGCCTTTTGTTGCAACTGTGGCAGCATAGTGAAGTGGAGCACACAGGAATAGTCATGTTCAGGTGATGTCTGCTGCATTTATTTCTGCTGTTTTGGCATGTTGTGAGTGGTCAGCACTAGCCAGAGTCTAGGGATCAGAAAATAAGCTTTGTAATGAAATCTCTGTTTCAGCAGAACTCTGCTACCTCTATGCAAGGTGGAAAACCTGGACATTTCTGTAGTGTGTATTTGTATCTGAAAAAATATGCAGATATGGATTTGCCTTGTGTTGTAGAAGTGGTCTTTGACTGGACTTAAGGCTGAAGAGTTGTCTTAAATCTAGCTCTCCTATTCTGTTTCTGTACCCCATAAGAATATTCTAATTACACGTTCCCAGTCTGTAATATCTTAGCAAGGTGATGCAGGGCAAGTGTCCACACCCTGACCTACCTGGGCAATAGCTGGAAAGAAGGAGGAGAGGCAGAAGGGCTTTAGATGGGACCACAGGGTAACAGCAGCAGAAATTAAGCTGCAGTTAAATGTAAGGAGGAAGAACTTGCATTCATTTTAACTGCAGAAAATTTTTAATCCTTTGGTTGAGTTGCTCCCTAGGTAGAAGGCAGGTAGATATTCTTGTAAGGTTATCTAATTTGAAGCTGATCAATTCTTACTGAATCACTATACTGTTGAGAAAAGGTAGGTTTCTTTCCCTGTTTGGCCCCAGACACAACTTACAACAGCCTGTAAATCAGAACCAAGTATTACTGAATGATCAAACTTGGAAATCTACTTTTTTTTAATTTGACAATCATTTGCTTTATTATATATACATATTTAAAGTCTGTACATGGTAAAATACAAAATAAAAGTGTTTCTTTATAAGTTACACAATTAAACAGCTACATTTGCCTGTAGTTCAGCCACCATTTAATTAAAAAAGAGAAACCTTGTTGAGCCATCGTTATATTCATTCACAATAACCTTGGTATAAAACATCCATACAGAGTAAGTGTACAAAATAGTGTACAGTTCATATAAGCTGTGCAAAGACAGCAAAGTTCAGTCAAAAATCAAAGAGGTGTATCCACTTTCCTTTGTCCACACCACGGATAGCAGAAGCAAAGTGGAAAATAAGCACAGGCCTGTGGGCGAAAAGGCAGGTTAGACAGGGCTTTGAATATAGTATTGATGTAGATATTAAAATGAAAAACATAAATGAGACCTCCGTTTCACAAGGCACACTTACATTATACTTTAGAAGTCATTCCAGGGATTTCAACGGGTCTGTTGCACAAGTATCATGATTTTTCTGGGTGAGGAGGGAGGCAGCATTTGGTCTGTGTCCCTCAATGTTATTTACTTTTGGAGTACAGGATTGCTAGCTCAGATGGGTCATTAGGCTCTTGAAATCTTAATAGCAGTTGGAAATTCACTTAAAAGGTAGCAAAAATGGTCACAGCATCTATATTGGTATCTATATTGTATTTTTTATTGTTTCTTATCAGAGGAAAAAAGTTTCCCTTCCCACAGGCTGTGCTTTCCTCCCTGCTACAAAGCAAGAAGCTGCCTGTTGCATGTTTTTGGATGGCAGCTCATGGAGCAAGTGTCAGTTGTTAAGCAGAGAGAGTTATGGAAGTGTTAGCAGATGCTGTGAATATGAAAAGCTCCACGTGGGGTAAAGAATAAGGAAAACCTATGAGTAGAAAGTCTTGCGGCTATGTGATAAAGAACCTGCACTGGAGAAGCATGTGGACATTTGGGTGGAACATCACCTCTTCAATTTATAGCACTCTTTTATTTACATCTTTGCAATGTGCCCATGTGATGGTAGGGGCAGGCAGGTGATCTAAGAGACAGTTATCTCCTCTTCTTCCTCTTCCCCTTCATCATCCTCTTCCTCTGAGTCTGAGAAGTCTGAAGGTTTGCTGGGGCTGCTAGAATGGGATGGAGAAGGAGACATCTGGGAGTCCAGTCTGTCCCTCAAGTGTAGATGTTCAGGGGACTGGTGGTAGGTTAAGGGGTGCTGGGGGCTGGGTGGGCACACGGGGGGAACTTCTTCCTCCTCCTCCTCTCCTGAACATTTCTTGCCTACATCACTGAGGTCTGGGTGAGGGTTGAACTTGGTGGGTAGGGTCTGTTCTCTGCAGCCACCAGAAGAGAGGAGCTCTCTTTCTTTGGAGTTCCTCCACTTCATCCTCCTGTTCTGGAACCAAATCTTCACCTGGCAGGCAAAACAACACAGAAATGAGATGGTTCAGTAAAACAGAGACCAGGAAAAGCCTTTGGTTGCACTCTCAAAACCCTGTTCATGCCCTGTTCATACCAAAGCTAGCAGGAACCATAGAACCTGACCTTTGGGGGGAGGGATCCTTGGAGAGAGGTCAGGAGGCAATAAGGCTGTGATCTGCCCTCTTCTACTCACCCAGCTAGGATTTGTGATGCCCATGGCCCTGTAACTCATTTTGGGCTTTCCACTGGTCGTGGTCAGCTCTCCTTTCTTCTGTCCCCTTCTTCTCACTTTCTCTCAAGCTTCCTCCTGGCTCCTCACAGACCCTGTGGCCTCCCCACCCAACACCCTTCTCACCTGCGAGTCCTTGAGGCCCAGCTTGGCTGCCAACTTCTTCCTATCGGGTTTGCTGATGTACTTCTGCTTCTGGAACATCTTCTCCAGCGCCTTGCGCTGCACGTCGGAGAAGACGGCACGACGTAGCATGCCGCGGCGGGGCGTGCCGCGGGCGGCCAGAGGCCAGGAGAAGGTGCCAGGGATGGGAACCACGGCAGAGGTGGCTGCAGGGGGAACACACAGCTCTGAGCGGAGTGGGACTGGCCCCCACCACCCCCTCCCTGCCCTTGGGGTGGGCACCCATCAACCTGGGGCTGTGAAAAGGAGCTTTAGGCTTAACTAAGGGCTCTCATTCAGCCAGTGATCATTGGGATTAGATCTATCAACTCAAACGTGTAAAATGGATCAATAGTGGTCGGTTTTGTTGGGAGATTCAAAGGTCTCCGGCCTGAAAAGGCAAAGCGAGGCGTACTGGCTAAGATAGAGGTATAATAAAAAAGCTTTCCCTCCCGCTCAGAAGCATTTGATTATTTTTTTTTCAGATGCTTTTATGGTTTCAGACGCTTTATTATGCTCAAGATGAAAATGAGGACTTTTCTGATTCTGAACAAAACCGCTCCTCTTCAGATGTAGTTTTGATCAATCAGTATTCATCTTTTTATATTAATCTCTTCTCTCTCCCCCCTCCACCTCCTCCAAAGTTGGAGAATTCAATCCGAAGACATGAAAAGTAACAGCTAATTAGCACATTGCCTAGTTCCCAATGGCATTGGTATGATAAAAAGGGCAGAGTTTTGCCTTAAAAAAAAAACAAGTGGGGGGGGGGAAACCTCCCCAAGAGAGACAGAGATGCTAATGAAGCGTGAATGGTAATTGTGTAGTAATGAACTAACAGAAAAAGACTGAGGACAAGCAGCTAACGCCATATATTATTGGAACAAAAGAGATTTACACTTTCAAACTAAACACAACGGCATGCCAGGCTTCTCGGGAGAATACTGATGGCACAATCGTCTCTTTCCCCAAATCATTTTCATTAAATGGACATGAAAAGCTATTTATAAAGCTCAAGTTGTTATTGTTAGGCTATTCACATGCTGGAGAAAGGAAGCAAATTCCATTATCCGGAGGATGAATGGAAGAGCTCGGGTTATTTTTTTTTCCTCTCTCCTTTTCCCCGTTTTCTTTTTCAATTAATAGCTTGTTTGTGTAATTAGATTTCTTTTTTTTTTAAATTGTTCTCTCAGCTTCGTAACAGTTCAGTGCTGTAACAATCATACCCCCCTAGCCCGCTTTCTCGCCGAGACCATGTTGTTCGAATACCACTGACGGGCTAAACGAGAAGTGGGAGACCCCAGCTGAAGGAGGGGAGGATTCGTCCACGGGAAAGGTGGACGAGCGAATCC